AGTTTGATGCCTGAATAAATTGTTATAATGTATTACTAAACTGTCTATATTTGATTATACCAGTTTACTTGAGTTTATGCCAATTTTTGTCATTTAAAATCATACCAGTTGTTTGTTCGATTCGCAGGCTCAAAGGTCTGGCAAATTGAATGTAACTAATTAAAAGTGCTGATTTTGCTAGTCTATTAAAATTATACCAGTTGCTTATTCGATTCACTACTCTTCAAGAGTTGTCGTATCAATAACAAATAATACAAGTATAAAGTTATAATCAACACAAAGTTGTGAATTTAGTATCTACAACATTATCAAGTGCTTTCAATAAATTAAAAGTAATAATTTATTTTCCAGAAACTATTTTTCGCTCTGAAACAATTTAAAAAATACTCCGAAATATATATATTCTTTTATTAAGTAATTTCTAGTTATTAATATAACTAACTTCACTATAGTTGTTGTTGGTCTTTGTTTTATGTTTACAAAGTTAGGCGCCACATTCTAATGGCGACCTCATTGGCACTCGTATAACTTGACACTCACTATTTCTTACGAAATTACATACATATTGTATAGTATGTAAATAATGAAATTTATTTTGTAATGAATTTCCTTATAACTCAGCAAGCGTTTCCTATCAGCAGCTGTGCTATTTTATATTGTTTGAAGTAAGCGTTTGTAAACAATTAGACTCATATGTGCGTATATATATGTGTAAAATGGTATAAAAAAGAAAACGAGAAATCGAATTAAACTCATCCAAGGGCTTTTGTGCCTTTTAAAAATGGTATGTATATGATATATGTGTATATATTTTTTTGATATATATGTATATATACCATATATATTTGATGATTTTATGAGCTAGTATATAAAGAAAGAAACAAAAGAAGCAGTCTGGTAACACCTGTGTCAATTGGAGCAATTATACATTCATCTTTTTGGGCGCTTTGAAGCGTTTTAAGTTTTTTTATTACCACCACTCTTTTACGTTAAAAAAATTTATACATCTTTTTTTACTGATTACAATATTTTTTCTCAATTAAACTTCTTTTTTCACATTATTGATGCTGAGTTGGCTTCAGAAACTATTTATATTTTTTTATTACTGTTTTTTTTGAAACATACTCAATTTGATAAGATTTACGAATTGCTTAATTAAAGAATGAACAAGTAAATAAAAAAGTTATGCGACCTGATAAGCGTCCTATACACATGTATGTACATCTATTTGCATTTATATGCTCTCTATCGCAAAATAAATAAAAAGCAAAGCAACGACTTGATAAGATTTACGAGAGCGTGCGTGTATTTATGTGTGAGTTTATTAAAAGATTTACTTGTTGATTTATAAATTGGCCCTTTATTTCGGTATTTATGAGCAGTGCTTTTGTGCTATAATTTTGATAATCAAAGATTTAGCTAGCTTGCGTAAATGCTCTACCAGAAATTTTTAGAGCAATTGTTTAACTGAGACTGGATTGGACTGGAGACGATTTAGAAGATAAATAAAAAAATAGCAAAGCCAGTAAAGAAACACAAAAAAATAATTAAAATTAATTATTTCTTTTTTAATTATAGAATTTCAAATATTTCAAATATTTTGTTTATCCAATAATATTTATATAAAAACAATATTACTTCAAAATATACGACATTTGCTATTTTATTTAGTACATAATTTGTCTCAACTGATATCGATTGGTTTAATTTTTTACGGAACTTTAGTTGAAGAATCATCTTAAATAACCAAATTTTCGATATAATTAAGCCAAACGAAAATAACAACTTGCTATAAATTTATAGCGTTTTTATGGGAACCTTTTTATTTATTCTGAGTCTAAAAGCTTACGAACTATTTAATTGAATAGCTTGCTATAAAGTTATAGCAATTTGATAGTTACTTGGTTTAGTTTACAATAAATATAGAAGTAAGGATTTATTTTTATTATATAGTTTTTTTCTCACAACACACAATACTGTCATTACATTTAACCTTCTAAACAAAATCTATCACATGCTATAAAATTTATAATAATAGCGAAGTTTATTATGATAAATAAAATTTTTTAATTTTTTTAAGTATATGCATACATACATACATATGTATACATAAACATCTGATTCCTTTGAGTTTTTTATTTTATCATTTTTTATAGTAGTCAAAAATGTTTGAGGCAAAAAAATAAAGCATATTATTACTGTCTTTTTTAATTTGATATCCCCTAAGTTTAACACAGAAATGCGCATAAGTTTCCCAAAAAACCAGATAAATATTAAAATATCTGTTTTGAAATAACAACAAAAAGTTATAGCATGAAAAATGCTCACCACCTACATCGCTGACTCCGCTCAGAATCGCGATGCGGAACCTTCATTGATTTCAATCATTTAATTGAAATAATATATTGACTACTGATTTATTGTAATTTTCTTACTGTAAATCAACATATGCACATAAGTATATGTAAATACATAAATCTACATGTATTACGTAGCTAGATATTTTTCCAATCAGCTCCTTGTATGCTTATCGCTGGCTGTAAAAGCCTTAAGCGTTCTACGTATTCACTTAAGTGCCTGCATTTGCCATATGTCAATAAAGTTGCTGCGTCCAGTGCACCCCACCCACTATAACCACCACCCGTCAATGTACCCTTACAGCCGACTTGGCCCATCAATCAGGCATACCACGTTAGTCAATAAGTCAGTCGATCGGTAGCGGCGAGGCGCTGGCTACGAATTGTGCCAACAAGGCTGCCAGCAGCGAGTACATTTCTGAGTCATCCGCATAGGCAAGAGAATAAAACAATAATAAAAGAACAACAACACAAAGCGAAAATAAACATTGTCAACACCGTAACGTTATTGAATTGCGGTATTATTATTTGTTACTCTTCGACTATCGTCGTATTTACGCTCGTCGGCTTAAGTCAGTAAGCAACAACGGCGAGAACTTCGGTAGCAACAAAACCAAAAACGATAAAGTAGATTGGGTATGAGAAAAACGGTAAGCAAAAATATATTTTTGTTTGCACGAAAAATGGTTGTAAATGTTGTTGTTTAGTGTAGACTACGTCATTGGGCTGAATTTGCTTCGGCTGTGGCGCTTTTACATGATTTACACCTAGTTGTTATTGCAGGGCTATCAAAAGTGTGCAAGATGAAAATTTTCCGCTAATAATTTAAGTTTGAAATTGTGGAAATTTCTCTTTTACGCTCTTATCACTTAATCGCATTTTTTTTTTTAATAGAGGTAAAGAATTTTATTTGTTGTGACTCAATACTAGTACGAATTGCAAATAGTTGATAACTAACAAAAGTACCGTTTTGGCCTTGTAGGCAGTGAAGGTATACAGTGCAATGCACCGCCAAAACTGAATGTTTATGTATGTATTTATTTATTCAAATTTAGTTGGTTTTGATAAGAGAGTAATTTCGACAAATTCAAATAAACTATGACCGTGTGGAAGAATAAGTTCGACTACTTTTTCGGTATTTGATTTGCTTTGAACATTAACATTAAAGTTTTTGTGTTATCTTTATTGAATAAGTTTTAACTAGGAACATGAGAACTTATGAATTAGTTGGATTTTTCTCCGTTAACAAATTTTAAATTGTAAAACTGTAACGCTGTTGTAAAGAAATATTTGAAAAATCGAGTTTGTTTAATTCGTCAGAAATTAGAAAATATTTTAATATATTTTTCATTTTACCGATATATTCTATATTTTAGCAGAATATGGTAGCTTGTGTGCTCTATTTCCCCATGAGCTTTCACAAAGAAACTTTTAGATATAAAAATACAATTTTATATTTTTAAAAATTCTCGGGAGGGCATTAATTGTATTTTGTATTATCAAAACACTTGCTTACAAAAGTTAAGAAGTGTTTTGAGAACATTTTTATTACCCTTGAAGCTAGTGTTAACAATATCTAGTGATTTGAAATCACCTACTTTAACTCATCAAAAACTCAATTAGAGAAGTTCGAATAAAAAATTACCACTACGTATGCGTTACCAATAGTGTGTGATATAAATAATTAAAAAAAAAAACGTTGCATACATTTAGGCGTGAATTGAATTAAATAATTAAAAGATTCAGTAATATATTAATAAGGCTAGTGTTAAAGCATCGAATTTTAAACTTTTAAAAGTCAAAGTTTCTTTTAAGATTTTGATAAAAAAATTTTGCATATTTAAGACCCGGTTTGTAAATAATATTATAATATTAATGGAAATAAAACTAATTACATAGATGCTCTTTTAAGCTTATATGATATATGTTATGTAAGTGAAAAAGCGATATATTTCGAAAATTTGAAGACGAAAAAAATATGATCAAGTAATATTCAAAATATAAAAAAAAACAATTGTTATAAAAAAATAAATAAATATTGATAAACATTAATAAACAAAGATTCATATTATAGTACTTATTTAATTATATTTTGTTATTATTTTTTATTTATTTATTATTGTTATTTATTTATTTATTAATATTATTTTTTTTTTTTGTTTAAGTATTTAATAAAAATAATTAATATTTTTTAAAACGGTAAAAAAATTTCAAAATTTCTGATGTCATCGCTAGTCAACTTAACTACATTGTTATATTACCGATTCTATACATTTTTCATGAACTCAAAATTTCAATTCATAGGTTATTTGCGACAGGCGCTTCGACACACATACTGTACATAATCTAGATAAAATAATGTTGATAAAATGAGTGTGAGGTGAATGCTTAGATCAGCGTCGGTTTTCATGTAGTTAGCGAGTCGAGTGATGAGCGCATAGAAATAAAAATAACGATTTTGATAGGAGTTTTCGATAAGCGCCGACATTTCACACGCTATTTTTGTTTGCACATCCACGCACGTGCCTTAAGTATGACTCCACCCATTGATAGGTTAGCTAATACTACATATACTATTTCAATTATCGAATAGCCAAAAATAACCAAATGTGCTAATTTCCGTATTTCTTTCTATCTTCACAGAGGATGCACGCAAAACCGGCTCGCGCGTACTGTTGCACTGTCACGCGGGTATTTCGCGCAGCGCCACCATTGCCATCGCCTACGTCATGCGTTACAAATCACTATCACTATTCGAGGCCTACAAGCTGGTGAAGGGCGCGCGACCCATCATTTCACCTAACCTCAACTTCATGGGTCAACTGCTCGAATTGGAACAGAATCTACGCATGAGCGGCGTGCTGAAGCCCGTGTCGCCAGCCGCCACCACACCCACAACACCAACGTCTAGTCAAGTCGAATTTACCAGCAGCAACTACAACAGCAACACAAACGCTAATACAGAGGATGTAGACGAAACAGATTCCGCGTTGTTACGCAAACGGCCCGGCGACGCTAAGCGTAAATTGTGCGCCGCCGATGAAGATGCCGCCGACGATTTGTTTGAGGATGCGCGCAGCACGCTTAGCAATCATAGCAGCAGCGCTAGCAGCAGTAGTAATTGTACAAATAGTCAAGCAATGCGACTGACATGGCCACCGCCCACCGGTGCACCCGCAGTACTGCTCTCACCCTGCACCTCGACCGAAGCATCCTGCTCATCATCAGTCTCATCCTCCTCATTGTCCGCCTCCTCGTACGCTTCGTCGTCCGCCTCGACGCCGACTTCGCCATCGGCAGCGCTGGGCAACACACAATCGCCCTTCCTCTGCTGCACACCCAACAACATGCCGAAACGCCATTCACCCGCCAAACTGCGTCTCAACTTACGTTCCACATTTGCACCCATACGACAGTCACAATCGTGCATGTCGATACGCGAAGTGGCCGACGAATCGGTGCCAGCAGCCACAACGAACACGGGCCTGACGATAGCGGCAACATCCAGCAGCAATCACAGCATACCATCGTCGCCGGTGGCAATGGATCAGGAGAACAATGTGGTAATGGCCATGTCGACCAGCGATTGAGAGAGTGCTAACTAATATACACGTATACCTACACATACACATATATACAACAATAAGGATTCATTAGTTATACAATGTGTGTAGTACATATTAAGCAAAAAGTTTAAAAATTAAACTAAATTAAAAAAAAAAAATTGCAAAGCGACGTAAAAGAAAAAAATATTACACGCAACAACAACAGAAACAACAATGCAAGCACTTTGAAAAAAGCTGTGAATAAATTTTAAGTGTACAATTTAGCGAGCGTACCTAACGATTACATACTAAGTGCATACATATGTACAGCATTGTATGTACATATATAAGTACTATATATTATATATACTAGTATACCGATCGAGCGAATAAACGATCGAAGAGACACCACGCCTACTATTACTACGTAAATACTGCGAGTACATTGAAAGTAAACGTTAAAAATGTATAAATTATTAAAAAAGCGGCACATTTACAACTAAAAAACAGCAGTACACATGTATATACATATATAGCTATGTATGTGTAGTTAAAGAAAATTGTTACTTGAAATTGAAAATTTGTATACAATGCCGTGTGTATAATACAGTAGTCGATATTTCATAATCAATGCAACAACAAAACATACATATTCGACATGCAAAACTGACAAACTTATATAAAAATATTCTCTTTTCGAAAAATATTGTAACTTTTTACCTTTTGACATAACTGTATGTACAGATATAAACGAAAAATATTAAAATAATCGCAATTGAAGTAATTTGCATATGCATTTGCCCAAATTAAGGGCTTTTCACACATACACATACATATACGGTATATGTATTAATATATAAAAAGTTTTAACAATGAAATACTATTTATTTATATTATTTGAACGATTTAAAACAACAAAACGCTTATTTATAGACATTTTAAAAACAGTTTGGAACTAAAAAACGGAATTTGTGCTGAACAAAAGGCTTTCGTGTGTCTAAAAAAAAAACATTTCTGTTGTAAATACTATAAGCTTAAAGGTTAAATAGCAAATGTTGCCACCTTTTTTGCATAACATGCATATAATATATTTTGTTTTTGAGTTCAAATTATGTTTAATAGAAATTTTATTTTTATTTTTTATTATTTTAATTATTTATAAAATTCCCTATAACACATTGCTAAGTCATCGGGCTTACTTATGTAACATGTCAAACATAAACTTAACTCTTTGAAAAGCTACAAAAAATGGACTATTTTGAAAAATTAAAACTTAATATGTCTAAATAAATTTAAAAATTCAATAATTGATTTTGTTGTAAATTATGTGCGTAAAGAAATCAAAAAGAATATTTAAGTTAAGTTAAAAATTAAAATAAAACTTTAAATGCATAAAACTGTATCAAATTTGCACACATAATTTGCTTAGCATAATTTGTAAAAAAAAAAAAAAAAATAATAATAATGATAAATAGCAACACAAACCATGTACAAGCAGCAAAAAATATATGTATATATATCCAAAACATACTTAGCAAACGAATATTTATTTTAATGCCAAACTCTTACTATAAAACTGTTTTAAGTTTTTTTCTTTACACACAGCCACAATAAAAACGAAATTTTCAAATAGTTTCCATAACATAAATCAGCCAATCAAATGGCTAAAAGCAAACATCACAGCAAATTTAGTTTCCCCGTTACAAATATGCACACACCATATTTGCAACAACAAAACAAAAAAAAAAGAAATTTATATTTTGAATAATGAAAATTTCTGTTCTTGTCACTATCACAGTTCAACTTAATTACCTATTTAAGCAAAGTATACCTAACTACCTATATATATATATATATATATATATGTAATATAAGTTAAAAATTATTTTTAGTGCAAACTTAAATGTATATACATATTATAAATTATTTATATACCTTATGTGAGCCTAATTAAAACAGTGAAAAATATTTAAAAACTGTCTATACTTTCTGTTTGTCCATCATGTCTGCTTTACTTTGCAACGCAGTCGGGAATTGATGGTATTCATATTGTAACACTTGAATAAACGGTAGCTCTAATAGCAGCGTGAACATAGATATTTACGTAATATATGTATAATAATTTAATGTAAATTGCAATAGTCATATTCTTGCACACACATACACATACACACTATTCGGTAAGCTAGACAAAAAAAAATAATAAAATGATGCAATTCAATTGAATGTGCAGCGTAAGCATAAAAATAGAAATATATGTACAAAATAATGATTTTGAAAAGAAATTGAAGTTATATTTTTATTTGATTTACGATCCTGATATCGAGGAATACTTTGAATTTGCTTCATTTCTACTGAGACCAAGGAGATGTTAGCGGAGGACATTTATGCACAGTATGTAGCTCTTTATAGCTTTAAATTATTACAATACACTTAATTTTTTTATTCTCATATATGGATAACTTGGCTTTGAAACAAGTTTCAATTAAAAAATTCCGTAAGCTGATTGGAGAAAGTTTCAGACTCAACAAGTGGAGGTAGCAATAAAGGTGTTATCACAAAAGTAATTTCTGCTTAACTCTCCCTCACTTTTAACCGCTGAAGAACGGTCAGCTCGACAGCATTTTCTAAAAAAATTTTGAAATTTTATAATTTAATTTATGTTAATTATTAAGTTATTACATATTTCTATACCCTTCCAAAATGTTGCTACAGAGTATATTATAGTTTTATTCACCTGATGTTTGTTTGTATCACCTAAAACTAGTCGAGATAGATTATGTATATGTATATAAATGATCAAGATGACAAGACGATTTGTATTCCGAGTGACAATCTGTCCATCTGTCTCCACAACCACAATTGGTGTGTACGGTAGCCCACACATTCCTATCATAGAGTGTGCAAATGAGCCAATTCGAATGACAACCACGCCTACATCCCATATAACACAGTTTTAAATTTCATCTGATTATTTCACTTTACAGTATATTTATTATTAAAATAAAACTTTGCACACATAGTGCAAGTAACACAAATATAAATTTTTTTTTTCTTTTGCAAGGTATACTAGTTACTTTAAAAACATGAATATGTTAGTTTGAGTCCGAAATGTAAATAACCGATAAAAAAAAATTTGGTAGGAGTCATGAATTCAGATATTATTGGTTTGATGTGCGAAACAGAATTTGTAATGGTTTTGAGTGTCATCGAAACCAATTTTATTGCCAAGAAGATAATCGCTAACAAATTTGAAAATTGCGTTGTTATTTCCGTGTGCTGTTAGACGGTTGAAAAAATGTAAGTTAAGAAATGCATTTATTTTATTGTTACGAATTAAATTAACTTTATTTTTATAGGAGAAAACATAAGAACAGAACACAAAATACAATAATAATTGAAAACGCAATAAGCCAATTATGGCAGGAATTAACGGAATCCCTTAATGCTACACTTCCACCACATAAAGATGTATCCGGGTGGATAAGGTAAATAAATGAATTTCAATGAGAATTAAACTGCAATTAAAACAAACTTAATTTTATAGATCATAACTGAGTGGAAAAGCGAAATCAAAAGAAAATTAGCTTCCAACAAAATGGAGATGGGAACAACAAGAGGTGGCCCCTTTGCAAAATATCAGCTCACTCAAAATGAAGAAACCATTGTGCGTCTTTGTGGCTCTTCGCAAATCGTGGAAGGCATGCCAGGCGTTTCTCTTGGCACCCGACCCGTCAATAAGAATGTATCTGTCGCAATTGCAAGTGTGAATGTAGATATAGATTTGTCTTTCTCATCGCTAGAGCAACAGGTTGAAAATTTAAGTTCTTATGCATCAAGCAGGCAAAAAGATGTCGACGATATACCCTCCACGTCACATGGGCCACGAGAAAGAAATGCTAATGTACCTAGCCGGCAAAAATTAGAGAGTACAGCAGATCGTTTAAAAAGATTTTTAGATGAGGAAGACAACAAAAATGGGGATATATTAAAATAAGAAATACGTGTGGCACTCGATGACTGCCGCGGCAAAGCTATTGCAGATCATTTTTCATCAACTTTTGCAATTATAATTATTTATTTTTTTTTATGCAGTATTTTTTTTTCTTTGGTATTAAGTAAAGTTACACTTTTTGAGCGTGCTGCCGTTTATTATTATTTTTTCTTTTATTAAATTGTTTAAAATATTTTTATTATCTTACAATACAAGTAGGTTACTCAGAAATTTGTATCATTGAAACGACAGGTTTATGGTAAATGAAATAAAAAACATAAGTTTGAGACTCGATATCCTCTAAATATCTGGAAAATACCGCGTCAATGGTGGTCCCATATTTTGTTGTGGATTCTTGTGGATCATGATTCATTTTCAAATTCAATTTTTCCGAAAGAAAAGTTGTCCACCGCTCTGATATTTTATCAGCGAAGTTGATGTTGTAATCGCCAGCCAAGATAATTGGACATTTATTTCCATCGATGATCCGATTGAAATACCAAACTTCAATTATATTGTTGAATTCAAACGAGATACTGTTCCATAAGGTGGGTTGGCTATTTACCAAAATAATAATAATGTTACTCATATTATGACTCTAAATATTGAATAATATATTTTTTATTAAATTCCATATTTTTATTTGCCATTAGAAAAATTGTATGTTGAATATTATTATTTTTGAATCACCCTGCTCTTTACTTTTTTTTATTATTATTTTTGAATCACCCTGTTCTTCAACTGATTTGTTCCGCCTGAAATATGCTAAAATACGCCTTAAGGTATGCAAACATAGTGCGCATACTTTGCGATCGTTTAAGTTTATTTCCGTTACGGAATTTCTTGAATAAAAGCTAATAGCTTAAAAACTTGATCAATTAATAGAGTTGCAGTATAAAAATGCTAGCAGCTTGAAGCGTATATGGCAAGCAATAGAAAAAAAAAATAAAACTGTTGGAAGAGCTATTACCGAAATGAAAGATAAGTTTGTTAAAATAAGTTCTTAATTGCTTAAACTATTGTAGAACAAAATTAGATTAAAAAAAACAACTAAATCTCGAATAAAAAAGACAAAATAATGAAAAAAAAGAAGATTAATTAATAAGTATAGCATTTAATTAAAGATCCTGGTTGTGAAGTAACCTTATAAAGGAACGACTGTGGTAAGGAAAATTAGAATAACAAAAAAAAGTAATATATTTTGAAGAACATTTATATAATGAGGGAAAAATAAAATAAAATTAAATTAAATTTATATAAAAAGTTTATAAAAATTTAAATAATTATGTATATTCTATGAAGTATTTGGTGTGATCGATACGGCAGCTTGAAGAAGTTCATAATAAATGTTTTTTGAAATTTCTTTACTGCTCTGCAGATAGTATAAAATTTCAAAGTTCGTTTCATACTTGACAAAATTTCTTGTAAAAGTTCAACTTTTCGATAAGTTCCAAAAAGTTTACCCCATAAGCTTTCGATTTTTGCGTTATTTCAAAAGATTCGCTTCAATTCATTTATATTTTCAAATATTCTTATACAATATATACAATATAAATTATGAGCATTTAAAAGTAGCAGAGAGTAATATTTTATAAAATTCGTACCTAATAACGAAAAAGCTGGATATAGAAAAGTGCAAACTTTTCTACAATTTATGGTTTGATGAATTGGATGGATTAACGGTTTCTAGTCGAAATTTTAATTTACTGGGTATAAGTGAGCTGATATCCTACATCTATATCCTATATCAAAAATCACTAAAACATAATGTGCTACAAATGTATTATTTTACAATTAACTAAGTTTTATAAAATAATAATATACAAGTTAGCATCAGCTGTTGCCCGATTTAAAGGCAAGCCAAGGAAAAAGCAACATAAAAGCCGCAAGAATAATTAAGTTAGCTTTTGGATGCCATACGGAAGTAAAGTGCTTCTACAGAATGCAAGCTGAAGCTGTTTGCCTAACAGTGTTGAGTAAAAATGCTGTAACTGTAAAAATTTAGTAGAAAATAACTACTTCTACTTAGTAGAAATAACTACTTACATTTATTACTGAACTATATTTAACGGGCGAATGCAATTGTTAAATAGCGTTAAGAACGCCAAACAAAGTAACAAATGAACAAAGAAAGGCTTGCAAGTGCTAGAATTTAAAAGAAAGAAACCAACTGACTGTAAACACAAGCAAAGTTGAGCCATTCAACGACGCAATTCCAAGCCGACGTGGTTCCAGCAAAATTCTGCAACTATAAACTACATTAATCTCTTCGCCTGAAGGAGGTTAACAGCAATTCATCATAGTTGCTGCCGACGCTACTGCAGTTGATAAGCGGGTAAGTATGTGCGCCCGAATGCTTCCCGGAATAAAGTCATCAAAGGCGTTGGGGACTTGCGCTTTTGTAGCGGCAGTTAGAGCGACAGCGACAAGAAAGAGTTATAAATTATTACTGCGATTCATTTGAGCGGAAATTTCTATTGGCTGAATATTCGAAAATAAACGCAGTGGACCGCCGTTTAGTTAGTTGTAGCTAGATGGAGAAAAGAGCTGTCTTGTATCTGAGGCAATGTCCACTCTAGAGAAAAGCACTAGTTACGTACTGGTTAAATTTAGATCGGATGTATAAATCTCCATTAATCTTAGAACAGATTGCCATAGAACGTTTAGTTATATAGATATCTCTAGAAAAATCAAGGAATTTGTTGTGACTACTATACTTGTATATCACGTTGAGACCTATTATTTTATAGTCTCTTAATTTGAGTAACCCCTGAAAGTATTATGTCCTGTGATATAGGACAGATTAAAATTAACTTTATCTTCATGTATGGTTATATTAGGCCTATTCCGATTTAATATAAGATTATAGTAAGAAAACACTGTTCATTGAGGAACACAAATTTGTATTTAAAATTTTGACTTAGTTAATCGGTTGTACTTCTATGTACCGATGCCTAAAAGAAGGTATAAGCTTGCTAAATATATTGAGTAACCTTGCTAAGCATGAGTAAAAAGCTAATTTCAGTAAGCGCCTAATTGTAGGCAACATTGAATTTAAATTTCAAGATCTAAAAATCATAGCATACATTTTGAATGAAGTCGAAACTATGAAATAACAAGAAAAGTATGAAGGAGAAAACACAGATATACACTATTTTTAAAACTTCCACGTAAGGATGTTCCTTAATTTAAAAAAAGTCATACTAAGTTACTACTAATCCTATGTAGAAGTTTCCTTCAGTAAGCCTTACTGGGTAGTTAATAGTCGTATAAAATAGACAACCAAGTTATGAAAGCGAAGGAAAACTTTGCCTTGGCAAAAAAGTGCTTTAAGCTAAATTCTTTTCGCTACAGCTTAATTATTTTATTGCATGGAAAGATTTTTGTGGAATTCTACGTAGAAAGAAGATGATAGACAACGTTTGGGCTTGTCAGGGATAATGGGATGAATACTGTAATAAAAGTAAAAAAGTGACATGCCACAATAATGTTGCATACAAAGTACAAAGCAATAGTACAACCAACGTAAACGCTCTGGTTGCCTTTATGGCTATTTGCACTGCCAATGCCACTGACGCAGCGTCAACTTCGTAGCAACGTTTTGGCAAATGTGAATTTAATTACACTGCCATTTGATGGATTGCGGAATTTATAGACGCAATAATGGGCTCATTCATCATTTAAAGATGTGCGTGGAAGAGTGGCACTTCAACATTGAAAGTACTGTTAGTGATTTTAATATGCACTTCTGCTTGAGGACTGCTTTTATGGTTTATGGTAGTTTAATTACCCGACGCCTGGAATGACGTTGAACTCAAGTTTAACGGCAAAGTCTATTTTAAGCTTTCTGATTTTGAAAAGTTATATAAACGGGATGTTTAAGAAACATTGAGTTTGATTGGATATTTTACTGTGAATTGACGATGTTGCAATATCCGAATTTGTTCCAGAAAAACATCAAATAATAATACAGTCAAAAGTGTGTAAGAGAGAACTGGATAAGCGAGAAAACTCTTTACGTGAGAATAATTCTCAGGTCCCGAAATTTGACCCCTATGAGTGCGCAACAAAACCTCCATAAGTGACAGTCGTTTTTCCCATTCTGACCTCTATAACTGAGAGCCTCTTTTGTATTTACCTCTATAAGCGACAATTTATATTCATAATATGTATGACTCATTCTTTTTTTCAGGAGTAAGGAAATATGTTGTTTTATTGTAATTCAATGAAATAATATTTAACTGTATTAACTTACAATATTTGTCGGGAAAATCAAGGCGTCAGATACGAAGTGAATTTGGACTACTGGAATCTACCAATTATGATTATTGTAAGTAAAGAAAGGTGGTGTTTAGGGTTAAAATTATCATTAACTTGTGTTTAAAAGTTGTGCTTATATTATTTTCTTACTATGAGTACTTTTTAATAAACCAATACAAAATTCTTAAGCAAAATCCCCTGAAGCCACTTGAAAATGAAAAGTATATGATCACAACCGGTCTATACTTGAATATCTAACCCATAATTATGAAACAACTATAAAGTGCGCTAAAGCCAGAGAGAAATTCAACACCTAAAGCTGCTTAAATTAGCAAATAATAATTTAAAATGTCGTAGCTGGATTTAAGGGCTTGTAGATAAGCGACAAGCCGCACTTGGCGAGCAGACATCTCGGCAATTTGGTGATTTTTGTTATTTGCCACCAGAAGCAGAATCAAGAGTGTATCTAAGCCGCAACCACGCTCACTCGTAATAAACACATCAAAATTTACAAGCTATAGAAATCGCAGTTGTCGTGACTGGCAGGCGGCTGGGGCTGCTTCCTTCTATGGGCTGAATATAATTCACTGACAGTTTCGTTACGAAGGGAATGGATGAAAATCAAACCATATAATTAAAGGTGTAAAATCGCATCCATTATTATAATGGCACGCCTGGTTTTGTTGCTTACACAGCAAGGTGGCAATTGTGCATCAAGAGCCAGAATGAATTTGCGAAGGCAGTGTGAATTGCTGTGCGCCAAATATTTTACAGCCATATTATTGTTTGCATGTAGCGTGTTATTGTACATATATTAGTTGAATTTCTTATTTTTTTAATTTAAAATGTAAAAGAAGAGATCATGACTTTTTATAATTAAATATTTAAAAATGAAAGAACTATCAAACAACACCTAGTTACAATTTTCTTCAAACCAGCGCTGCGAGGTCTCTTTCGGAGTTTTTAGAGATAAATTGAGGTCTTATCGCTTTGATAAATTCATAAACTTCCTTGGTTGAAAAACTTCTCGTCTATAATACCGTCTGG